GGGTATTGATGGGAGGGGGGTGTCAGGGGTCTTATCCCCCCCCCCAGTTTTGAGCCGAAACAATAGGAAAATAAAGCAGGAAAAAAAGCAACACACGTCTGCTAAACTACCCCTTAAAGCTAACCCCGCCCCCAGCCAAACTTTAAGCTGGACCCGCACCTGTAAAATCAAACAAGCCATGCGAAATTCGCGGCATTCGCTTAAAAAAAGTGCTAATTTGTTGAAGTTCACCATCAATATTTTGTGTTCCTTCTAGAAAAGAAGGGATCAGTTGCCTTGAAACCTGCACTATACAAGTCCTTGTTTGCAATTGCAATTTGAAACTGAATAAGATCATTTTTTTGTACTCGTTTCTTGTTACTAGGTGCACTGTATGACGCCACGGGTGACTACGTCCTCAGTCTTCTTGTCATTGCTGCGATATTCCTTTGCGCCGCCGCAGCCTGTTTATTCATACCACTACGGAGGAGATTTCGTCGACGTGCTGCACACAGATCAAGCCCACCCTCTGCAAACGTTACAAGCATATAAAGTCATAGCGTCGTCAAATCATATAGGTCCGGCAGGATACTGAACTGGAAAATGATGTGACAATCACAGAAGTGGACCTCATCAGATGACGATACCTAAAATAGATCTTGGCCATATTCCAAGATGGACACTACCTAACTAAATGAATAATGCACATTATGTGCATTATTCATTATAAGGCCCGAATCATAACAGTAGCCCTTTGATATAAGCCAGCAGACGTTTTTTTTTACAGGGTTGCAGATGACGAACATACAGTGCGAGTCAAAAAAACTATACACTTTTAAAATTTGCCATAGTTTTATTCTGTAGCAATAAAGATAAGATATTTTCATATGTACTTTTAGAGTAACTCTTCCTGCTTCTTTTGGCGACATTTTCACTGGATTAGTTTTCATGCATGACTGCACAGGAGACAAAGGGGTCGGTGAAATCTGACTTGTCTCCTGTGCAGTCATGCATGAAAACTAATCCATTGAAAATGTCACCAAAAGAAGCAGGAAGCGTTACTCTAAAAGTACATATGAAAATATCTTGTCTATATTACTACAGAAAAAAAATATGGCCAATAGTTTTTACTCGCACTGTATTGGAAACAGAAATTCGCTAGGAGAAAAACTATGTTCAAGAGCACGTACGAGGAGAGCAACTTTCAATATAAAGAAGTAAACACATCGGTACGATACTTTTTTAGTTTGCTGCAATCGTCAACAGCAAAGGCAAGGGCCACTGAAGGTGACAACTACAAACAAGAAATAAAGTATTAATTTAAAGAGACAGAAATCAGTTGATATTTTGATTGAACTGTGATAAGTTATGAGAAGCACGCTCTTTCCGTACGAGGAAAGAAGCTTGTAGATATACTTCAGTAGAGAAAACGGTACTTGACAATTGTTGACTGCTGTGATGTGGGATAGGCCTATGCCGTTTTAACATCCGATGGGCGCATAGCACCCGAAAAGGAAACCGCGCTTAGGCTCAGTCCGTGCCGTACTGTTATAGATACAAAGTCATGTAGTCTCATTCATAAAGGTTAAAGTTCTCGGGATTTATATTACGTTTTTGTTAAAAATAAAGAATTGTTCAGGACGAAACAGCATACAAATGCGCCTGAGTGTATGGGTTACTTATAGTGTATAAAACCAAGTTGTGATATATACCACAGCCTTAAAGCAGGTTACATTATTACCCCAAACTGCTGTGGTATGCAGCAAGCAATATAATGCCATCGTATACGTCATCGGTCCCATGTTATACAACATGCAACTTTTAACGTGAAGACATGAGTCAGATTCTCTTTCAACAATTAGGGGGGGGGGGGCGCTATCAACAATTCTCGATAATTGTTATTCATTAATCAAAACAGAACAGTTCAAAATGATATTGTCAGGTCTCAATTGCTGAGTTCAGTATTGACGGCAACCATCAGACCAATACGTTACATCCCAGCTTAGGTTACAGAAAGTTCAAAAGCAAGGAAATACATATAACCGATTTGTGGAAAACTCACTGGGATCCGGTGGTTTTTCTAAAAAAATAAAAATAAAAAAAGGCTTTAAAGCTGAACCCTGCATGGCTGTTACTGAATACTTCTGTATTCAGTATTCAAATTCCGAAAAACCAAATACAAATTAGTTGCAGACAGTGTGGCAGGGCCAAATTGAACTTGTAGTTTTTACTGTATTGCTTTTAGTGTTTAGTTATAGGTGTAGCTCCCCTGAATAAATCACCCCTTTTTATTAGATGTCCCCTACCCTTTCATAGAGTGTGTACCCCTGATTAACTTTTCCCTCTTCCCCAGTAACATGACCCCTTAGAACAATAGCCCCTTTGATAAGACCCATGTGCTCTGCCACCCTGTAAGTCCACAGCCCCTCACTTAGCAGACCAGCGGCAGTAGAGAGAGGACTGTGTATTATATATCCACTCTTCCCCTTTTCTTGGGAGCGCCTGCCCTGTGTGTTTATCTGCTCAAGTCACGTCTGGTGAGTTTTATTGTGAAATTGTTGTTCTTTTATATTGTATAATCATGTTTTGAGTTCTAGGGCAGTTTTTGGAAGGTTTTTACTTAGTTATGGTCTAAAGTGTGTTTTTGTCTTTGGAAAGTTTTTGTGAAAGTTTAATTTTGAAGCATTGAGATTTTACTGTTCCATGATGGGTTATGATTTGGATTCTGCACAATTATATTTTCTTTCTTACCTTTTTGACATACATGGGGTAAGGATGAGTATTGTTTTTTAAAGGAGTTAAGTTTCTTTGACTATAGTTTTACAGGTTGGAAGAATGTTTTTCATGAGTTTACATTTATTGAGTTTTGTTTTATAACTTTTGGTTCCTCTTTGAAAGATGACATGATTTGCTTGGAGAATTGATTTTTTTGTTGAGAAAGATTCATATTTTACCCCTAGAACATGTAGATTGAATGACTTTTGTAGTGTATCTCTACCATTGTTTAAGCTAGGTGGTTTGACTTTCCCACAGATCTAGAGACCCAAGTGTATAAATTCCTTTCTTAGAAGATCACCAGATGTTTATTCATGAAATTAGACTTGTCTTAGTCCCACTTCCTTCACTGCATTTTCTTTTATGTTTAAATCCACTTTTACCACCTGTTTACATTGAGGCTTAGTTTGATTGTCGTAGACTGGGTGAAGTCTAATTAGAAGTTATGTGGAACAGATAAGAGCCAAGGATTAGTACTCATTAGATATTCACGAAAAGTTGGGTTGTTTAGCAGTGCCTGGTAGATAAGAGACATACTTCATGAAGGCCTGCTTGTGTTATTAGAATTTTGTTATCTTGTTTTTAACCAGTATTCTTTTTAGTGTAGCCCAACTTTGTTTGCTTTGTGTATTTTTTCCAATTCTTAAAAGTATATTCCTTTTGTATTTTTTGTGTTTAGATATCATGTGCTCTGTCTGAACGCACTCGAAGGCAATCCGCTATTGGCACTGTGTTGGTTTTTGGGTTTTATTCCGTCTTCTTTAGTTTTTTTTGGTTGGGTTTATTTACTTTTCATTTCCAATTACTTTTTGTTTCCAATTTGATTTTTTTTCCAAAGTTATTAATTTCTGGTTTTGTTTTCCCAAAAGGTTTTTTTTTGGGTCACATTTCTAGGTTTTTTTGTGTGAATGTAAAACTTGCAGTTAATCGTGGATTAAATTGTTTTTTTTTTGTAAAGTTCCATCCCAATTCAGTCTGTCTCTTTCTTTTTTTAAAAAATTTGTCCCAGTTTTCTATTAAATTTTTCGCGACTTATCAATTTGAACCAGGCCTTTACAGATATTTTCTTTAGTGAACCGTTTTTCTTCGTTACAACAGCACTGGTAATTAGGCCTACCATCCGTTCTAAAACTCGAGAAGAATATTCCTATTATACTCATTGAAACCCTTTGCATGAAACAGGTCAAAATTAAAGCTTCCTCCCACTCCATGATGACTGTTGGGTCCAATGTCATTTAAACATCCACAGAAATTAATGCGTTTTCACAGTACAGAAAACGGTAAAGTATTGGCCCACTTGCCTTCGACCGGCAATTCTGATAAAGAGGTTTGTGGCTCCTGAAATTGAGGATTTGTAGTACAGAAATGGGAAGTATATCCAGCTGGCTTGGGTGAAATTTGGCAAACTCAAATTCCGTCACGAGGAGCTCCCATAACGCTGGAAAACAAAACCAAACAAGAGATCTTTAATCAGTGTAATTCTTCCGGTGCTCTCTTACGGTGCTGAAACTTGGTCAGCAACCAAGAGACTGGAGAAAGTGAGTCACAGACAGAGAGCAATGGAAAGAATCTGGATTGGTGTTACAAGAAAGGACATGCAGAGTTAGCAACCAAGACCTGAAGCAGAAAACAAAAGATATAATACAAGAAATAAAACCAGTGTGGGCTGGTTATCTATCTAGAAGACAGGTGGACCCATAAGCTGACAGACTGCACACTAGCGCATATCAGGCAGACTAAACAGAAGGTGGATAGATGACATCAGAGAATAATGCGTTACATGGAAGGGGCCTGAGAACAGCACAGGACAGAATATTGATGAAGGGGTCTTCCTTCTGCATGCAGTGGAGTGAAATAGGCTGGAAAGAAAGGTAACGAAGGCAGTAATACCGGTCTTTGAACTACTTGGCAATGGACCCGAAGGACACTCAATTCATTTTTGCAATGATTTTAATGGTCGGCGATGGGCTTTCGGGAGTACTTTAGTCGGGATTACTTTGAAGGCCGGATGATGATCATTTTAAATTGGAGGGAAAAAAATCAGCCAAAAATCATCGGCCAACCCAAAATTGGAATAGAAGGTGAAAGAGGGTAAATCAAGTTACTTGGTGTATTTCTGGAACACCTGTAAGAATTCAGAGTATCATTTTTTCCCCGATTGCTTTTGAAGAGATTTATGTCTATGGGAAGTTGACTCAGTGGTTTGCACATGTTGTGGTCGTGAAAAACCGAATGAGGGCGCGACGTCGGGCTGTCATGGCTGTGAGAATGGTACACAGTACGTATTTACTGTATACGCCTACAGGTTGGCATTATTACTTCCTGCTTCCCGATCGGTAAGTCATCAGATCGGATTGTAAACAGGTAAGAAATTGATCTCTGAATTTCGTACTATACCGTGTATTTGTTTTCTAGCTTTTTAAGGAGAGAGTTTACATTGGCGAACTTTTGTACTATTGTAGAACTAGAAAGTGACTGATCAATGATCAAACCAACAAACCTCATGTAGAACACGTGGTCATTGTGCAGTGATACTGGTACGTACGGTAGGCTATACTGTACAGCGTACTGAGAAAAGTTGCGTTCAACATGGTTCCTCCATGGGTCGACGAAGGCCCAACAACTGTACACTACAGTTTGTGTATACACATGTTGAGTGTAAATGGGCATGCGCACATTATGCTACGTGGGTGTTTGGGGGCATGGGGGGGGGGGGGGGGGGGCAGGAGCTTGAAAACATTTATTTTATATTTGCACACCATTTGGTGTGTCACCATTCACTGTCAGCACATCAGACTCACTTCGGAACCATTGAGTTTCAAGAACACATGAGGTCTAAGTTAATGTAAAATTATTTTGTATGTATTGTCGGTGCTCATCACATGATGCCTATATGTATACCAGCTATTTTCTCAAAATTTTACTAAGGCCTGACACCAGAAAGTTGTATGGATCTGTGATAAGTTCAATTGCAGGTTTAAGCCTTTAGTCTAGAGCCATATTTGTGGGAAAGAATGTTGCAACCTGACACTGCTTTTTTTTTATATATCATCTAAATCTCAATGAAGGTCAGTTGCAAAATGATGATAAATCTGGGACTGAGAAACATTTCCAATTTTGCTAGGAAATACTTGGAGAAACTTTTCTTGAGTCTCCATAGGCTTTCCATGGCAAACTCTTGGTTGCAACATTCATTCCTATTTGCCTTTTCATAACTGTTTATGTTTGGAATATTCAGCTAAAATACCTTCACTCCGTTTGTATTCTTTTAAGAATAGGGAGTTGTAAAGGGTCACAGTGGGACTTTGACATGCAGAAAAACCTGTAAAACAGCGGAGTCGGACCACTCTATAGCCAACCAAATTCTCCAACATTTTCATGAGTCAAAGACAAGGCAGTATTTCACCAGCCAAGTTTGAGGTCTCAATTCAATTTTTAAAGGAGACTATTTTTAAGACATTTTGCACATGAAAGTGAAGTCAGGTGATTTCAATTTGAAGCCCAAGACTAGACCGGTACATGTCCAACAAGATTGACCCGTCAGTAGTCATGGTGGCATGACTATGGAAATGTGTAGAAATAGAGGCCTGTACCAGATGTTTCTTTTGACACAGTTGACTGATGCAGCTACATGTAGTACTAAAGATTGGTTGTTTCATGTGCCAGTCTATTTTCTTCAGAGTTGTAATGACTCGAGTCAATGACTCGACTCGAGTCCGACTTGAGTCACATTTTTTGGCGACTTGACTCGACTCGAGTCCCGACGGGTAAATGACTCGACTCGACTCGAGTCACTGCGAGCAAATGACTCGACTCGACTCGAGTCCCTCATCAGAATGACTCGACTCGACTCGAGGAAGGCTAATAAGACTCGAGTCCCAAAATAAAAGCAAAACTTACTTGCGAAAAATATTTGCAATGACTTACGCTGCGCCGTTCGCGTTGCCAGTTTTTGTTCACGTCACGTTAATGTTCGCGAATAATGTACGTTTATATACAGCGGCAGTCTGTTTCCTTCCTCCATAATAAAACAACAAACATACACCGTGTCGCGGACTCCCACCTTGTGGTTCTATAGCATGTAATGCTAAACCCGGAACCAGACTTAAAACGCATTTCTCAATCCGTGGTTTCATCATTGGTTTCGGGTGATTTTGAAGTTCTTGGTGGAACGCTGGCTAAATTCATGTCCCGATTTCACACAAAAAAATGGATACGGACGGGCCCACCTTTAAATAATCAGAAACAGTTTTGTATAATGCAATTAGGTTTTAACGTTGTCAGCGATCAGCGAACAACAAAATCTAGACCCGAAGCCAAACCAGTTATAAGACCGAAGTTTCACATCTTCTTTTCTGTGACGTGAGCTAGCAATGGAAACTGTTGGTTGGGTACCATACAGCATACTTTATGTCTTTGGATTTCCGTAATAGACTGGTGCCTTGTATTCTTTCTCTCTTGTGTTTGTTGCTTTTTATTGTAATTTAGTGTTCAAATATTTGTGACTCGAATTGACTCGAGCTAAATACTTGACTCGACTCGACTCGACTCGACCACACTCTGTGACTCGACTCGACTCGACTCGACCTTGTTGACCTAATGACTCGACTCGACTCGAGTCACTTCTTTAAAATGACTCGACTCGACTCGAGTCACAAAAATCAGTGACTCGTTACAACTCTGATTTTCTTGTATTGCATGTTTTTACAATCTTTAGTTTCAGGACACTCATAGTCATATATACACAGGATATATTCGAGAGTCCCAAATTATTCCGACTAAAGGGTAAGAAACTGTCGAAACTCAGATTTCTCACTTAATTTCATTTTATGTATCTCAAAAATAGATGGACTTAAACGGGTCAATCGGTTAGATGGCATCATCTAGCTTGATCATCTGGCTGTACTGGTCTTGTATTGTGCTCATGTTGCCATGGCAACCTGCATCCGTTCTGGCTCCAACCACTACCTCTTACAACTGCACACTTTGTAAGTTAGCAGGCACCAATAAATGGAATTAAATATCAGAATTGGAAAATATTAATGTACATAGTGAAAAAAAAGTAATCATAACTGATCATCACAACTTTAACACAAAAGCTACATGTTATCACTGTAGCGGGGGTGGGGGGGGGGGGAAGTAACGTGCCTTCCCCCCAAAAGAATCCCAGTGCCCCCCCCCCCCAAGGTACTGGTACGTGCCCCCTTCTCCCACAAAAAAAACCCAAAAATTTAAAGTATCTTTTGGAGATCTATACTTGTATTAGAAGAAGAATGTAATTTTTTTCTTTTATTTGATTCTAATCCCCTTAACTCCCTTAACCCTATGGCTTTATGAAATTGAAATGAATTGGTTTAAAAAAAAAGGCACGTCTGGCGTCACATGAGGCCCCCCCCCCAGTCGGTGCCCTGAAATTCGGGAATATTTTTGATGCAGGACTGCCCTTGGTTAACCTAAAATTGACACAGTGACAAATCTTTTACATGCAGTGACCCTGGAGGCTGACCCCAAGGTCGCCCAAGCAGGCAGCACTGTTCGTCTCAACTGCAGCCTTGGCTCGCAATCAGACCTGCAAAGAAGGCCCTACATGTACAATGCCAGCAACGTGCAGTGGTTTCACAATGGCAGCAGCCTGATGCCGGGGGTCCGGATCCAGAACGTGGAAGCTGCAGGCACTTCTCAACTGATTTTGAATGGAGTAAGGATTGAGCATGGCGGAAGGTACAGCTGCTGTCTCAATGCGTCCTGCGCCGAAGAAGCTTGCTTTGCCAGCCTAGACATCCTCATAGGCTGTAAGTAAATGGTTAGGCCTTCTAGTTGGTACCCCCCATCCCTGAAAACAGAACTCTTTCAAAATCAAAAAGTTGGCGGTTTAAAGCTACAGTCCATCATTTGCAGCAATCAAAAAAGTAACTGACGTAAAAATTGTTGAAAAAAATACTTGGTTGAAAGATAGTAAGGGGACTAAACTCCCTGGCAAGCTTTCATTTTGAAGAAATCAACGAAAAAAGCCCTTTCCAACGGTGCGTCTAAAGACGCACCGTTGGAAATTTTCTTTAGAAGGCCTATAGTTCATTTTTTTTTATTCGGCAAAGCACGCGCAAGCGTTGGCACGACGCACACAGGCGCACAGTTGCTATAATTCGTTGGATCGGTGCGGGACATTGCGTAACTGCAATCGGCTCAGTGAGAACATGTCTCGGACGCTGAATTCAGGCCCAATTCAAAACATGATTCAGCATGAAATCGAAAACCTAGAATGGTGTTTTTCTCGGAATATACAGCTGAAGCTGAGCTAAAAGTTCATAAGGTTAGTTGTTCAGCACCCTTCTCTAGATTTTGAGTACGTTTGTTGCTTCAAGCGAACAAAATGCATGAATTACAAATGATGGACTGATAAACAAAAACAGTGAAAAAGTTACTTGTAGTACAAGCCAACTAAAAAAAAAAAAACCCAGGAAACCATGTGGAAACATATGTTCCATAATGAAGGAAGATCCTGTGTTTCTTTTTCTGTGTGTTTTTCACATTGTTTATGTAAAACTTACAAGAACGTTAATTAATGGAACTGAAGAGTTTAACAAGAGGTGAAGAATTCATATGAAACTAGCACAAATAAGCAAATACAAAAATACAAAAGTATAAATAAAAACAAATGCAAGATTAGAAGATGGTTAATGACTTTAATGCCAATATAAATTGAGTAAGAAACAGAAACAGGGATATGAATCCCAGAGTTTTGATCGGTGTTGACCAGGTATTGATATCGTGATGCAGGGCCGCCGGAGAAAGCGACAGATTTGCGATGCACAAGCAACGATCTCAAAATTGCAAACTGCACGTGGACAAGGGGTGGACAGCACAGTAACCTCCCAAGCAAAGATGTCCTAAAACGCAAAGCAAGGTAATAAGACCCCCAAAAAATTAAAATGGTTGTGTTACCCTCACATGAAAAAATCATATCAGGAGGGTCAGTCGGTCAGGGATTTTTTTGGATTCCCCTCTGCATTTTACCAATGTACTCAAAACGTTTAGGCTATTGTACTGCATGCGCCAACTACACATGCATGCAATACAATTGACAGTACAGCTTTTGCCATTAACCCTAACAGAACTCGACCCATCAGACCCCAACAGCATGATTTGTTGGAATCTGTGTACAGTTGTGTACAGTTTCCCATATGGGCAATTCCACGGTTACTCACGTTACATTTTTGGTGTACTTTTGAATTTCCCTTGGGCTGTAATTACCTTACTGAAAAGGTTTAATAACTGTTATCCCCATGGTAGATAGAGTAGACCTAGACCTACCTAAGCACCAAAGATGACATCCAGAAAAATGTGTTATGTATGATAAACCAGACACACATAATCGGTTACTCACGTTACATTTTCGTAACGTGAGTAACCGATTTTGTGCGTCTTGTTCATCATACAAAACACTTTTTTCTGGATGTCATCTTTGGTGCTTAGGTAGGTCTAGGTCTACTCTATCTACCATGGGGATAACAGTTATTAAACCTTTTCAGTAAGGTAATTACAGCCCAAGGAAACTCAAAAGTACATGTACATAAAAAATGTAACGTGAGTAACCATGGAATTGCCCATCCATATGATGTTGGAATTTGCCAGGATGGGTATGGTTCCTAGTAAATCATGCTAAGGAGTTAGGGTTAAGAGGAAATCAATGTGTATGTGATTGATTGGTTGGTTATGTGTTAATTGTACACATTTAACTGAATTTAGGCCTATATCAGTCAGTATTGTGTAATTGCAAATTCCATCAATGTATGTTTTTTTCTGTCAATCTCCGGGTGCCTTTGTGCAAGTTTTCTTGATATGCAGATGATACACATTTGGGTATTAAAGCTCTTGCCGGTAAGCTCTTGTACATTAAAGCCCAAGCAAGAGTTGTGCCAAAATATAAAAAAAATTGCTTTTAATACCGCAAGTATTTTATTTTGTTGTTAGAAATTGTTTTTTTTTAGCTCTAAATGTAATGTCTGTAAGGCCCAAAAAAAAAATATTCGGTCTCTGGTCAGACCAAAGTTCCGGAATTGACGCGGCCACACGTTTTTTTTTTTTTTTCTTTTCTTTTTTTCTTCAAGCTTGGATTGTACAGACAAGGTGGGTACTATTTTGCTTTTTTGGTGTACTCATTTACATTGGTGTCCTCCATAATTTGCCTTGGTGCTTTCGATCATTTGCCTCGGTGCAATTTCCCATTCCTTGGTGCTCTTTGGTAAAAAAAAAATTACGAGGTGCGGAAATAGAGGGCGCTGTTGGAGCTACCGCGGAACATTTTGGAAAAAAAAAAGATTGACGTGCATGATTAAAATCGATGCGCGCGCTGACCAGAGACCGACTTATTTTTTTTTTGGCCTAACGATGGATTTGCCCCTTTGTTTTCCAGTAGAAAAGAGTGGCAGCTGTGCAATGATGAGGCAGATGCCGTCTGCACGGCCACAACCTGTCATTTGTGCTGCTCTGAAGCCAATATGTGGCACACCTATCGTGTGGAATCCTCCAATGTGCTTGCTACCGTCTACTCCAATGAAACCATCTTTAATCTCGACACTGAAAGTAAGTACTGCTCCTAGAATTGAAGAATTGTGCGTGAACGAGTATTTGTGTCCAGAACATGATTTTGAATGCTTGTGTTATTTTAGATGGTAGATTTACAAAGCGTTTCATACAACATGCACATACATGTCAGAAATTGAAACTAAATTAATTTTTGGAATTTGTTTTCTTATGTGATGTATTACAAATGATTATTGTTCACTAAAGTAGTAAAGTGTTGCTAGTAAGTAAAGATGCAAAGTTCTTAAGATGTGTCATAAGTTGGTCTTTCCTTGCATAAGTTAGCATAAGTTTAAGTACAAAATGTCACACACGTGACCATACAAAATGTCACACACGTGACCGAACAAAATGTCACACACGTAACCACAGCACAATTTCCATTTAGTAAAAGTAAAACAGGCTGTGAATGCATTCTGTAAATCACAAAAGACTATAGTCTTACATCAAAATAAGTATTGGTGTTTGAGTCCTTAGAACTTTGGAAAAAGTGTGAATGTCCAGTATGGGCTGGACAACATATTTATGTCTGATGTCACGCACGTGACCAAACTTTGATGTCCACTCCAAATATTTGGACACTGTTTGTGAAAGTAGAAACTATACTCTGAGGAAGGGAGTAAAATTTACTAACCTGATGAATCAGTGAACATGGTGAAAGTAATATGCCAGATGTAGTTAACAAGGGGCAAAGCTTCAAAAATCAGACAAGCCCAATTTTACGTCACACAGTGACCAAAGATTAAAGAATGGCCCAGGTAAGTTGTGAAATAAATGTCCAAAATAAAGTCTGGCAACAATTATGTATTTTGGTACATTAACTTGTACAGTTCATGTATTTCTACATGTACTTCTACTCTATAGATAAGTATATTTGTATGAAACTATAAGAAGAAAAGCGTAACCAAGCTGCACTTTCTTTTCTGACAACATTAGAAACACAACATTTTGTGGCCAAACTTTAAACAAAAAGAGTATTTTGTCAACTTATAATCCTAACCAGTCTGGTTCCCCCTTAATCCCAAGGGCCTCTTTAAATTGAGTCTGCTGTTGTAAATACATAAAACTGTAGATTTTCTTTTTCAAAGCTGCTGTCACCAGATAACAAGGCCTATATGTCACATGTACTGTTCCCTTGGGTTACAATACACATCAGCAGAGTTGGCCAGCGTAAGGTTTTAATGCACACAAGGTCCCAGTCTGAGAATTGCCCACCTTCACTTTGGATATTACAGCATACGTACAGTATTTAGCAACATGGCACAGTAGCCAGCTCCTTTGTAGGCCCATTGCATTACTGGTAGCAGTCTAAAATGGCTCCCATTAGCACAGGAGTTGGTGACACAGATAAGCTACATGTACATGCAATTAAAGGGACATTGCGCAACCCCCCTCCACCATTGTTCAGCCGCAGACCACCACCATTGTTCAGCCGCGGACTAAGGATATAATTCCTGTAAAGTGGGTCCAAAGATAGTAAATGGATTTCTAAAGTTTGGTACCCGGTAAGTTATTCTCGAATTGCCTTCGAATGCAAGAGAAAGCATGGCAGATTTCACAATGTTCTGGGAGGCATTCTTCCGGATCCCATAGCAGGGTGTGCTGGAGCTTCATTCAACTCAACCTCCCCCATTATTAACATCAACACCCCCGCCCCTGTTATTTCCTTTGAAAGCAAAGGAAATAACATGTGGCATGAGCAATAAAATGAAGGAAAAAAAAGAAAAAACAACCCCTTAGATTTGGTATCAGGTGTCTGCAGCCATTTACTACGTATGTGCATCACCAGGCTCGGGCCGAGTCTAACTTCAGCTCGAGCATAAAAAAAGCGCTACCTCTAAGAATCACTACCTCTAAGAAAATATAGAAAAAGTAGAAAAATCACCGGAATATTAACATTAAAAGCAACCCCACCCCCAAAAGCGCACCTTTTACAGGATGAAAATAATAATAAAAAAAGAAGGCATGTTTCAGGTTTCAAATTTGGGAAACCTAGACATGCTAGAATTTCTGAGAATATAACAGAAATATCAATTGAAATGAAAGATGACATGAAAACAAAGAGGAAAAACCAAACCCCAAATTTTGTATCGGGTGTCAGTAGTAATATTATACTGCACATGCCAATCCCAACACCAGACTCGTGCCAAGTCTAACTTCAGCTGTTTAAAAATCAAAAATAGAATAGACACTTTGGACAAGTACCAGAACATCTTTAAAGGGAAATTACATCATTGGCTTTTGCTGTAATTGTCAGGAATGAACTATTTGAGGGGTTAGTATAATAGATCAAATATTGTTACACTGACATTTTTTAAGTTTTGTGTTCGAAAAGGTTGGAAAAACGAAGAAAAACAAAAATGTTCAAGCAATCTGGTTCCCTGACTCCACAAAAGATAAAATGGATCAATTTATAGATAATGGAAAATTGTAAGGCAAGGGAACCAGTCTAGCTGGCCTGCACCCGTTCATGAACATGTAACCAATAGCAAACTGAAAAAATGGTACTGAAAATTTGGACTGAAAAAATGGTTAATTTGGAGCAGTAGTTGAAAAAAGTTAGGTTTTTCCAAGGCTGGTCGGCCGATCATCGTTGGAAATGTTTACAAAAATACCATTTTCTTGAAAATTACTTCACACCAGGTGCCATAATTTTACAAGATGCTTGAGACTGTCATTTACCAACATCCTAGTAAGGTATTTCGTAAAAACTTGGTAGTTTTATTTTTCGATGTTTGCAAATGTTGTATATTCCCTTTAAAAGGGCCACAATCTTTTTTAGTGTCAACATTGCCTTCCTCGGTCAGTCTCCCGACGATGACTAGAGCAGGCTAGTCGAAACACTGACACCAAAGACAATTTTGTTTAGAACTTAACGCAAGACTGTTCTAAAACTTCTTAGCGAAAGTTGATAATAAGCAGAACAATTTCTTATCTGAACTACATATTTACTGAGCGACAGTAGTTATCACCACATGGTGTTACCGCAAACCAAAATGATATGTTCTTCCTCAACAGCAATACCGGATCCTCCGACAGGTGTAACTGTGACCAACAGATCCTACTCCTCCCTCAACGTTCACTGGTCCACCCCCCCGGCATTGGCCCACCATCATACCGAGGAGGGGGCCCTAAACCTTATTGGCTTCTGTCTCCAATACAAGTGGGAGGGCAGTAAGACTTTCACCAAAATCAAGGTACATCTAACTATAAATTCCAGGAATCTCTGTGTGTCTGTCTGTACTTTGATTATCTTAGTAATAAGTTCAGTTAGTAATTTCATATCCCAAAATGTCACCCACCAATGTACCGGTACAAGCCTTTGTTCGTGCAAGAATTTGGTTAACTGGAAATTTTGTTAACTGGAAAAGTTCCTCAAATACTCCATTGTAAACCCTTGTGTTTTTTTTTTATCAAACTAGAGATGATTTCAAGAAAAGTAACTGAAGCTGTAAAAGTGCGCTGAAAAATCTGACCGATCTGACTGTTCACAAGACGACCGCATAAAATCAAACATGTTTGATTTTTTTCGCATCCGATGTCACCGGATCGGATGTCATCGGAAAGGTGTGTGGGCAGCGCACCATTCCCGTGACATCGGATGCCATATTTTATGCAATATTTATGTTAACCAATCAGATTCACGAAGGAAGTCGCATGATTTAAAATTGACGGCTGCTTCTTTGCATCATGTTACTGGTCATCATGTGTCTGAACATCATGTGACCAATTATAAAACGTATTTGGGCACGTGTGCTGGTAACATTGTGGTGTAACAGCAAGAGTGAAAAAAAAATATCGGATATGTGGTCAACTGGTAAAATCAGAAATGTGTGCTGCAGGTTTTAGAAGAATTTTTGATTAAATGAAATCTGTCTCTTTGTACTTTGGCAGTTTTGTACGCCACAGAATCGCACTGAAGTAGCAATGAAATATGTGTACTTTTTTGCCCTTCCCAATCCCACCAGGCTGACTCTACGGACTACACAATAAATAACCTAACACATCCATACGGCCTGTACCAAGTCAAGGTTGGAACCTTCTTAAAACACACTGAAAAAAAAAAATGCTGGAAGTTTTCAAAAAAGGTCTTTGGTCGTACAACAGAAGTTGGTAAGTTTCTCAAGTTTTATTTCCTTTATTTCCTTCTCCTTATTTGTGGGACCCAGAGGGCCAACCTACTGTCCATTTTTAACCTGACTGACTGACTCCCCGACTGACTCACTCCCCGACTGCCTCAGCCCACTGATCTCTATATAAAGACTGGATAGCTTATAAAGAGCCGCACAATGAATGAATTTGACGCCATATTGGTGAGACCGGCTGGTGATCTACAAAGGACAAGTTGCCGTCTTTATAGACAGCATGATTTCTTTTGTAACGTCGCGGTTCACTTGACTTAAATTTTTGCCACCACCACTGACCAAGGTTTACTACAATTTTTCTAACGTCGTGGTTACTTTTATAATGCCGCAAATCACTTTTTCGGCGTTTTTGAAATAATAATCACTATGGAAATGTGTCCCTTTTAGAACATCATAATATGTGTACGTGACCAAAATGCGCGTCAACTGTTGATACAACGCGCGCGTATTTACACGTAGAACGTTCGTGTTATACGCGGCCATCTTCGTGAGATCGGGGGCGAATTGGTCAATATGCAAAGTCTACTGTGTGAATGTTGTATGCATATCCGCTATCCAGTCTTTATATAGAGATCAGTGCCTCAGCCTCGACTCCATGGGCGCGTGCGCATTCCCTACACTAACCCCTGGCCGTGATGATGACGTAAATGACGCTGATTGGCTATTCACTGCGTACTGCGCGCATTTCGAAGATTGCACGCCGGGCGCGCCCATAATGCGCTCGCGTGCTTTGCACGTAAATGTCACGTTCGAAAAAAAAGTGTTATTCAAAAGTCGCGATGCCTGTACGATATGGATTATGGCAGCCTCGTTTTTCGCTAAAAAATCCCTGTATCTTCGGTTGTAAAGGGACGAAAGGGGTACGTACATTTAATACAAATCTTTGCTAAATAACGCAACGTCCAAACGTTATGTTTGAAAGGATTGATTCTTCAAAATCACAACTTTTAACATTTTAAGATGGCGTCGGCACGTAAAACGGATAAACTGCAGCCTAATTATAATGTGCCATATTTTGACACATTTAAATTACACGATTCCAGGGGTTAAGATCGCGCAAGGCATGATGGGAAACAAAATGGCGCAGCAAGATCGTACCCATGGGGAATGAGGTTGTGACTGCCTCACTGTCACTCGTGAGTTGGACTTGCTTAAGTCTCTTCTCGGCCAAAATATTTGACACTGATGGATATATTATAGTCCCCTTAGGCCAAAAAAAAAAAGTCTCTGGTTTCTGGTATGAGCGCGCGTCGCCGTTGCCATGCGCGTCGGCAAAATGAAAAAGTTTTTTTTCCAATGAAAGATGATGTCTCAAAACCGCCAAACTCACTGGTTTGACTGGAATCCTGCTGCTGCACAATTTTAACGTGTTTTTAGATGGGGTTATGATTGAGGATAAGCTTTATGTGGCCTCTCTGGACTCCCATATATTTGCACTAAGTTTAGTCGGGCACCATTTGCAGTCATCAGCCGACATTTGAAGCAAAAAAGTCAGATAAAAAAAAAAAAAAACCGCGGCGCCGCACCACTTTTTGGACAAGCTCCATACCAGAAACCGGAGACTTTTTTTTTTGGCCTTAGGGCTTGGCTCTAAATATATCAATATAGGATTTGTAACAACTTCCCTGCAATCTTCCCCCAATTAAGTAGATCACCAGTATATCTTACCCAAATATACCGAATATTCAATCACCACCTGAATATTTGAATAGCTTTACCCCGGTTTAAATATTTAAAAAGAAATAAACATGCACGTTCACACAAGACTGTGATGTTTTTTTTATTGTAAATTTGCGGGTTTTTTAATTGTCGGACACCATGTTTTTTTTGTAGACTGTATCGTTTTTGTTGACGCCTATTTATTGGTCCCATTCTTTGGTCCAAGTCCCTTAGCAGTTACAAAGCACTTACTGCAAAACCTCCAGTGGCCCATAATATCCATTGGTATTTGCAAATTTTAATCCGCGCGCTTTGAATGCAACTTTCAATTAAAACCCTGCGCAGCGTTTACAAAAAAACTATACAACTCGTCAACGGGGGCCCTCTGGGCAGCAGGTATTTCCCGCACTACGCAAGACCCTATTCATAGCAATACAACAAAAAGCCACGTGCCAGACAGTGTCCAGACAGTGTCCAGACAGTGTCCAGACAGTGTCCAGACAGTGTCCAGACAGTGCACTGGAAAGATACTTGACTGGTGGCCTAGGTATGCAGTAATGAAGGGAGATGGCTGTGTCAAGTTACAGGTCTTTGTTGATGTTTCAATGAGACTTGGCAGGAGGCCTGTTTGAAAGTTTGTTGACACGGCCTGGGTGAAGCCCTGGCTGCAAAGTTCATTGAACCAGCTGATTTGGCAAGGGTTGAATGAGGATTAGATAGGAGGTGACCGTCATTGGCAATCAATTTTTTTTTTTATTCAAAAAATTCGGTCACCTGATGCCCCAGGGGCATCAGGTCACTCCGCCCAGGGTTCCCAGCGAGGAAGGCAGCTGCAGCTGGCGTGTGTAAAACTTGATCGGCAAGTTTTGAATATTCGAATATTTGGTCAATTGCGGTTTCAAATAATCAAATACTTAATTATTGGAAAACCGATAGCCCTAGTATAAACCTTCAAACCTTAAAATGTCTTTCCAAGTTTTGTTTTACACCAGATCAAGTAAATTGCAAAACTTGAGTGACTGGTACATGTACACGTATTTTGGAGGTCACATGTTAAACTCCCTTGAAGTTCTTTGTTTTGCCTGAAATCAATGAAAATGAGCTTACTCACTCTTCCCTTTGTGGTTGATCTGGCAAATTGCTCTCCCCTCCCGTCAACAGCGCCTGTAAATTCTCCTGGGAGTTTCACTTGTCCAGTCTCTCTTGACCAGGGGGTTGACCAGGAGGATATCCAGAACGTGGATCTCAGCTGGAAGGTAATAATTCAGGTTCAGATAGATCCGCAAGATACTTGCACTATAGGGTGAGTAAAAAAACCCCGAAACCCAAATGTTGGAACCATTTAAATAGTGAAGTTCTGCATGTAGCACTTTCAAAATCTAGGATATGAAAGCCCATTCATAAGCTTTCTTTTACTACAAGAATCATTCAAATCACTTGTGTACTTTTCAAGTTACAGAATTACAAACACACACACCGTTTTTAACTTCTGTCCACGGATCACAAGAAGGTTTGTGTTCTTTCAGCAAAACAAAAATGAATCACATAGGGATGTTTGTAAATTGTTTTCGTTTTGCTGAAAGAACGCACACCTTTTTTTGTGATCTGTGGACAGAACTTTAAAACGGTGGTTGTGTTTCAAATTCCGTAACTTGAAAAGTACATAAGTGATTTGAATGATTCTTGCACTGAAAGAAAGCTTATGAATTGGGCTTTCATGTCCTAGATTTGGAAGTGCTACATGAAGAACTTCACTAAAACAATAATCCAAACATTTGGGTTTCGCTTTTTTTTCTTCTCACCCTAGTATACTAAATAACAATGGCCGCGTCTGAATTACTTAGCTGTACGGCTGAAAATAACACACGGGTCTGTGGGAAGTGTGGGGAGTGTGGTCCGGTTGTTAGGGTTTGTGACTCATAATCAAAGGGTCAGGGGTTCGAATCCAGCTGCTGGCCATATGTTGATTTCTTGGGCAAGCCACTTCACCCCCACTTGCCTCTCTCCACCCAGGAGTATAAATGGGTACTGGCATTAGCCGGTGAGTAACCGGCGATGGACTAGCATCCCATCAAGGAGGAATAGAAATATTCTCAGTTGTTTCAAGCTACTGAAAAACGCTGGCCTGATGGGTCACATTTGTTTGTGACAGAATTGACTTTTTACTTTACTCTATGGGAAGTGGCTGCATTGGTCTGCTTCCATAGGCGTGAGTGTTATTTTCAGCTGCAGCCAAGATAAATTTTGAAATCCTATTAACTTTTTTCAAAAACTTGGACAAATACTTGGTAGATGTAACTTATTGAGTGACTGCACCATAAATAACCCAAAGGCAATGGAATCAAATATCCCAAAACCAAATGGTACGAAAATCAAACAACCCACAACTGGGGAGAAAAATAGACGACCACAAAGAAATAGACGCAACACTAAAATACAACCTTTCACCACCCCAAATAATTGGAAGTTCTCATTTTTATTCAAGTAACAATCAAACCAGTTCTATGTTAAATTGTACCTTTCACCGACGTGTTTATAAATTGGTGAAGGGCAAAACCTAATATTGATTATCACGCAAACACAAAGTCCGTCTTATGAATAATCAAACCGACTTAGTTTGTCAGTAATAGCAATGATGTATATTTACCATTTTAGAATTTTGTTTTGATCCTGTGGTCATGTAAAATGAATGGTTTGGATGACAATATTGATGGAAAGAATGAAAAGAAGAAGACAATGAAACATGTTTGAAGTCTTTGGAACCTTCATTGAAATTTTCCAGGCAGTGCCCAATGAGTACAAACAGAATGGAGAAATCCTCGGCTATCAGATTGTGGTTCATAACCAGAATGTGAAGCATCATGTTACGGAAGTGGCCGTTGGACCTAACATCACCAGTCACAGGATCCAAGGTGATTTGAAATATTTGATGCAATATTTTCTTTAAATCAGAGGGAGTCGGGGTGCAGGCCAAAGCCAAGGAAAATGCAAGAAACAGAGTCGACTATTTTTTCTTCCCAACTTACTTTTTTCCTACAAATTCACTGTTGGGTCATTCTTTAAATTTGGGGTCCGCTCATTTTCCTGTTCTTGTTTACACCTGACATCTGTGATTTTATAAGTCTGAGGTATCCAGTCTTCCTTAATGCAGTCGTCCTCCAAGAGTGAACTTGTAAGGTGCTACATAATGGGTCTCATATTTCTCATCATTATTATTTCCCTGTAAAAAGACATTGAGTACCTAATTAGCAGATACGTGCACTATATAAGACTCCCGTATTCTATTATTATATTATTATTAGCTACCCAACATTGAATAGAATTGCACAGCTCCCCCTACTTGGCTGAACTTCTTTCCTTTCATGAACCTGGTAGGGAGGGGCTCAGGTCTTCGGACAACAATCATCACCAAGAGAACAGGAGACAAAGCATTCTCCATTGCAGGTCCAAAAGAATGGAACAAGATCCCATCACACATCAGAGACTCCCAATCTATCCACATGTTCAAGAAGCTTCTCAAAACCCATCTCTTTGCTCTTACCACTAGCTCTTCTTGATTGTGTCTTCTGCTCAATGCTTTGATCTTGCTAAAAGCGCTATCACCAGATTATTATTTATATTTTGATACTTGAATGGCAAATTACAAAATACCAAGGTAACAGGGACAGGAAAAACGTCAGTTTTTGGACCACACATTTATTGAATTGACCCAGTAACATAAAAAAAAATAACAAATGGGGATATTTAAAATAATCTCCATGAGAAATATCACAACTTCAAAGATTTTATGGAAAATGTCACAAAACTAAAAGTTGCAAATTTGCTCTTCCTACCAATAAGCCAGTTGGGACTCTCGATGAAGTAGTCCAGGTCAAAGGTGATTCGGCAGAAAATCACTGACGTGACGATACGCAATGTTACGCTGATGCCGATTCTTGTTGTAATTTGCGCATGGTCATCGTGCGACCGTCTCCGTGCGCGTTCATACGCCTGCGATTATCCCAAATGACCCGTTACCCATATCATTAGCGCATGCGCAGCTGAAATACTGAACTGACTTATTGTTCTTACACTTGTATGAATCAGGCGCAACCCTCTGATGGATGGAGCAAGCCTTTTATTGAACTCGGAATCAGAAACTTGTAAATTTCCTGTTTGAATCATGCTTAAGTTGATATGTTCACAAATAGTTTTCGCGTACCGGTATTTTCAGTAAAATGGCCATTTGGTGCAACTGAGACTACCGGTAGTGTTGCACAAGTCACAGACTTGCCCAACGTACAAAATGTTCCTCAAGTGAAGTGACAGATGTTGCGCAAGGCAGTGTTGAACTGTTAGTTATAAAGCAGGATCATGATTTGTTTCTTTTTATGACCCTGCAGGCCTGCTCACTAGTAGACATTACAACATCAGCTTACAGACACGTAACTCCATGGGACTGTCTGACCCCAAGTGGTGTTCTGTACCAAGCATTTCACCAGGTAATGTTTGGAATCATATCAGAAACTGCACATATATCCTTAAATGTATGCATATACTGGAATCCATGTATTTGAGCCTGATCCTGCATGACTTCTATCTAATGGTCACCTTCATAATAATAATACAAAGCTTTATTCTCACCTTTTAAGGTGCGTCCTTGGTGTCATACACTGGGCATTATGGTCACCTTAATAATAATGCAAAGCTTTATTTTGACCTGTTAAGGTGCCATACACTGGGCATTATGGTCACCTTAAAAATAATAATTCAACGCTTTATTCTCACCTTTTAAGGTGCGTCCTTGGTGTCATACACTGGGCATTATGGTCACCTTAATAATAATGCAAAGCTTTATTTTGACCTGTTAAGGTGCATTCTTGTGCCATACACTGGGCATTATGGTCACCTTAATAATAATAATACAAAGCTTTATTCTGACCTTTTAAGGTGCATCCTTGTGGCCAGTGTTTGTGTCCGTACCTATCCTGTGTTGCCTGCTCGTTGTGTTGTGTATGGTTTGGGCCAAGAAGAAATACAAAAGCTCCATCAGGAGATGGCCTGCAGCCAGACTGCCCACGCAATTCATAGTGAGTGTTGTAAACGTCTCATAATGTAAATGTCTTAAGTTTGAATAAATCCATGTGTCCGCCATGCATTAAGCATATTGTGTAGTGTGTGGTGCATAAAAATATGTTTGAAAAGCAATTGGCGCATGTTTTCACGTTCCGTTATCTGTTTTAATTTCACGCACTCCGTTTGCAATTGAAATAGGTGGTCCCTTCCAATACACACATGCTCTTTTTTGAATAACTCAAAGAAACAATGTAGTGGTGGGTTGGAAAGATAAATATTAATGGTAGGCCTAAAAAGGAAGCACTTTTAGTGTTTCAATTTTATTGGTTTTTCATTTTTCAATTTTCCGTTAATACTCTCTGTTAATACCTTATCAAGATTTTTTTTAATATTGTTAATGTTAGTTTTTGTTTTCGTAGATCATGTACTTTGCCAACGATTATCCAATGCCATTATGACTTGTTTATTTTATTTGCGACCTGCTGAGTGTATATACCCCTGTGGATTTTCAGAGCTTCACAGATATGCAACCAGTAAACGCACAATGCATTACGCACATTGAAAATGGACACATGATTTTTACCTGTATTAAAAAAACCCAGTAGTTGCACCATTTTTGCATTTGTGCTTCCATGTACTGCATGCTACTCTGTAGGTGCTGTGCTTTTTGTGCATGTTGAAATGGAAATGAATCGCACCAACTTAATGTTTGAGGTTTTACTTCAGTACAATGCTAACCAGAACTCATGTACCTCCAAGGAAGTACAGTTGGAAGTAAGAGCTCTCTCAACTTGTCCAACTTGGAGCCCATACCCTTCATATAAAGTCAGTTCCCCATTTGGTACAGTTTAGCTATCTAAATGGTGAAATTCATTGATGGCATTGCTGTGAAAAATATACTAAAAAAAGGACATCCAGCCCATAAATACAAGAAAGAGAAATCACAAAAAGTATTGAGCAAAATGAGTTTCGGGAAAATAATGCTCTTGGCTCATTTTCACTGTAAAGTGAAGCAGTTTAACCCTAACTCACTAGCATGATTTACTAGGAACCATACCCATCCTGGCAAATTGCAACACCATTATGAAAAACTGCACACACATACATTGTATTTCTGACTTTGATTCTGGAGGTGTGCCAACCCAATGTAAAAGACTGTCCATTTTTACTGTGCCCATCCTTACAGATTCCAATGAAACATGCCGTTGGGGTTTGGTGGGTGATCTGTTAGGGTTTATATGCCCTCCACCGTGTATTTTATCTTGTATGTGAAAATTCTACCTTTTTTGTGGTTATGCAGAATAACAACATTACCCATGCTCGGGGTCTCACACTGGTCCGAGAGAGGGAGGTGTTTGATGAGCTGCCTATCAAAGAGCAGGTCCACAGCGACAGTAGCCAGGATGGAGGATTGATTCTGATTGGGGCTCACAGAGGCGCTTGTGGTGGGCGATCACAACCAGTAGCATTGGAATTGCAAGGCCTCGGCCAAGTGAATGCGGGCAGTGATACAGACAGCTTAAGTACCATCTCGCCAGGCAATAAGCAACTCCCTAGCAGCCGCATCAGGTATCCCTCGTCAGAAGCCTCCTCGCCCCACAGTCCATTGAGCGTGGCCAGTGGCGGCAGCTACATGATTCTAAAGGATCCCATCCACTCTCACATTCGGGAGGGTCTATCTCCGGATGACAGGGATCGACAGAGGATGGGAAGCGATCCGTCACCAGGCCTTGTGGTCAAGGATGATGTCACTGGGTCGGCCTCCCGCTTTGTTTGGGATGAAGGGATCATTGATGGACGATCCTTACGTCTTAGTATCTTCACAGAAACTGGTGACCATCCCTTGGGGTCACCTACTTCTTCTTTAAATAGCCCTAAAAAATGCCCTCATTGCCACTCAATCATTCAAGGTAAGAGACACGCACCTAATGAGTCCCAAACTGATGCCTCAGTCACAGGTGAAAGTAGGTCTCCAGGATGGGGGTTAGTACCAGTTGCCGAGGAGAAAGATGAGAAGGAAGAAACACATGAGCAGAGAGAAAATCCAGATGTTTTCTTCGATTGGGGGGAGCCTTCAGTAATGTGGGAAAGCCTTCCCAATATCCCAAGAAGTGATGCTGCAAGACCGAAAACAGAACCGCTGATGGATTCTAAGAGAGGAGAATTAAATCTTGCAGCAGGTTACTGTGGGATGAATCAGGGGGGCTCAGAGAAAGTGGCCAAAGTAGAAAGAACAGCTGCATCAGATTATTGTAAGATGAAGAGCCAGATTGGCGTGGATGAATCTGTCAAGTCTCCAGAGGGAATTGATGGAAGTGTTTGGTCACAGTGGCCTAGGGATGCATGTCATGCCGAGGGTTTTCTTTCCGACCAAGAGCCCCTGCTCAGTCCAGATTCGACTGTTTCTTTGCCCATCGACTATGAGAGTCTGAATTATGTCTCTGTTTGCACGGATGGAAGTGATGAAGACATGGAGGAACAGGAAGCAAGTTCACAGCTTAACACCAGCAAGCCCCTCAATGATTCCGATGATTTAGCTAAGCAAAGGGACAACAGTTCAGCAGATTGTCAGGCTGAAGGTAACGGCAATCCAAACCACCCGTCTCTTGCTCCTCCAAGAAAGAATGACGATTCATTGGTTGTGTCCGAGACAGGAGAATTATCTCCTTCAGAAGGTTACTGTAGGATGGACCAGGTGGGCTCAAAGAGAGCCACGTCCGAGGGAGAAAGCACTCCAGCATCAGATTACTGCGAGATGAACCCGATTGGGTTGAATGAATTTACCGAGACTTTAAAAGGAAACAACAAAGGGAATGATTGGTCACAGTGGAATAGGGATACAGGTGATGGCGAGGTGTTTCCGTCTGAGCAGGATCCCCTACTCAGTCCAGGTTCCAGCATTTCCTCACCCCTTTGTGAAGATGGCAGTTTACAGGGTTCTAGTCTTCTTAAAGATTATGAAAGTCTGAATTATATCTCTGTTTGCACGGATGGCAGTGATGAAGAAGAGGAGGAACAACAAACAAGTGAGGCCACACGGTCCCTTCACAATTCCGATGCTTCAATCATGCAAAGGGACTCCAGCCAGGGCATCATTACAAGTTTAGAGGACCGTCTTGCTGAGAGTGATAACAGGCCAAGCGATGTAGCTCTTTCTTCAGATGAAGGCTTCGAAGAACAACAAAAGCAAGTACCGGTAACATGAACTGCAGCTTCATCTCTTTCTGTTTTTGTTTAGTCCTGGGCAAGACGTCGTTGTGATTTGATATGCGATAAGCCATCGCCACGAAAGCTATCACAATGAACTGCTATCACCCAGGAACCGCGAGCCAGCAACAATGTGCAGGGAATCTTGTGAAATCTTCTAGTTTTACAAGAGCGCATTTGCTACTTCTGTACGGTCATTTTCTGTCCCACGCATACTGAATGCCACAAAAGAGCTGCCCAGTGGTTGTCAGCTTACACATTCCAGTGACACAGCATCTGGTCAACAGTGCAACTATCTTGAAAATCAAGATCAAGACATATTGCATTGGAAAGCTTTCGCCAGGAATTTCGGTTGCTCGGGAAAGCAGAGCCTGAAACATTATGCTGGACAACATCCTTACATGCATTTTTGAGAAAACAGTATGAGAAATGTATTAAATGAATGCATTAGATCACATTTGCATATAATACTTTGCCAACTAAGTTACATTGAAAAAAGTGGATGTTGTTACGGCTTTTTGCTTGCCATGTATATAGTTACCATTCTGCCATTTTTAACATTCCATGTTTTATAAAATAATGCTTGCCTCACAGTACATGTAATGTATGTATTTTATGAAGAAGTAAAATTCCTATTTGCAGTCAAACCACTTGCCAAAAGAAATCATGCCAACAGTATTTGAAATCAAGACCGTCCAAGTTTGTGTGTGTGATGAATTACATGTAACTTGTGATCAGCCAGTACACAATAGGTCAAATATTTAAGAGGCATAAAAATGTACATATGTGTAGAGTATAAACAACTGAACTGTATACTAACTGGACTAGATGCTATACCTGATTTGCACTTTGAAGCAACTGATTTCGCCATCTTGGATCCCCAAAATCTCACGCTGTAACATACAATGTACATGGTTCTGCAATTGATTTTTTTAAACTTAAAACAACAATTCCCTAATAATCTGTTATTCTTTGCATGTTGGTACAAAAGCATCAAAGTGCCGCAAGCAATTTCAAAAAATCTCAATTTGTATCTTGCCGCAGGGACTTGCATACACCGGTACTATCTTACTGTGACAATTTTGTATCATGCTGTGCCAAGATGCTATCTCGCCATGGAGAGATGCTGTCTTGCTGCTGCAAGTAAATGTTCCCGTAGTAACTTGCCGCAGCAAAATAGTATCTTGCCGCGGCATGATACTATCTCGCCGTATTGTATGCTTGAGCACAATACCCGATGTACACTTAAAAAACCTGCGTCATGTGGTTGATTCAAGATGGCTGTTGGTTGCTTCATTGCACAGGCATTGACATTCATTCCACTTTAAGACCAGTGGTGTAAACAGTTGACTTAATACTGGAGTGAAGTTGTAAACTTTGAAAGTTTACTGAAATTTGTGGATGGAAAAAACATTCAACATATAGCTGGATGTATATTTATTGCTTGTCGAGATTAATGCAAACTAGTGTAGGGCTAGTCCGAAAATTTAGGACTCTCAATACTGTGTATGAGAGACCCAAAACTTAAGGTACAGTGCCATATGGAAGCATGCAATACAAACAAATAGACTGGCACATGTATGAAACAACCAGTCCAACAACCCTTCAGTACTGCATCACATTTTTCCATAGACGGTCAGCCGCGAAGAGGTCAGTCTTTTCAAATGGTTGGATCATGGTTGGAAATGTACCAGTCAGGTCTTTGGCCTCAAAATGATATCTCTTGACTTCACTCTCGCGTGCAAAAACATTTTTGTTTTTAAAGAAAAGTCTCCTTTAAAAATTGAATTTAGACTTCAAACTTGGTCAGTGAAATACTAAGGAGTCATCATCATCATCATCTTCCTATACTGTGCAGAAACCTCCGCTGGAGTATACTCGCACATTGGTTGAAGTGCAAACAAGCAGGTGCAGACATAACTCGAGGCATAAAAAGACAAATATGTGCAAGTAAAAACAGCTATTTTGGGACAGGTTGGTTATCTGAAGGTGACACCGTTCACTCTGGTCTTGAAGACATCCAGGGTTGGTGACTCAACAACTTGCTGGGGCAGTGAGTTCCACAGGCGGATGGTGTCTGGGAAGAAGGAGCCCTTCAGTAAGGTTGTACGGGTGGGTGGGATGAGGAATTTCTGGCTGTTGCCTCTGGTAGATGAGTTGACCGGGATAAGGTGGTTGTCTGGGATGTCGATGAGTTTGTTGGTGATCCGGTACATCATTGCAACTTTAGAGATGGCTCTTCGGTGTTGTAGAGACTCCCAACCCAGTTTACTCAGCATGGTGTTGACACTGCTGTCTCTGGAGTAGTTATTCATGATGTACCGGGCAGCACTACGCTGGACAGATTCAATTTTGGTGATGTTCCTTTTTGTGGAAGGGTCCCATACGCAACTGGCATACTCGGCAATAGGCCGCACAAGGGTGGTATATCAGCGGGTCTTTACTTCACGAGGGCAGTTGCTCAAGTTGCGTCGTAGGAAGCCAAGAGATCTCAAGCACTTCTTGGAGGTGGTGTCTACATGTCTATTCCAGGATAAGTTGTCAGTGAGTTCTACCCCTAGGTATTTAGCTGATGGTACTGCCTTCAGAGGATGGTTGTGGATGGAATAAGTGAACTTTACCGGTTTGCGACGTTTGGTGATGCGAAGTCTTTGCCTTTTAAACAATTTGGAGAATTTCGTCAGCCAGAGAGTAAAGTTGGCCTGAATTTGTTTTGCATGTATTTCAACACTCAAGGTCCCATGTGTGGGGCGTCAACTTGAGGTCATGTTCTTTTTCTTTTATGGGATGTAAAAAATATTCTGTGTGTGCCATTTTTGAGTTCCACTAAAAAAAAATGGTTGAAAAGTACACACATGGGGAATTATATGTACATGTATTTGCTGCCAAACATTTGTTAATATCTAATACAGGCTAGACTGGTTCCTGCCCCCAACTCAGCATCATTAATGTGGGGTCTAGGAACTAGTCAACTTGCAGGGTGGATCCGATTGTGTGCAAAAGCACCCCAAAGTAGATGCAAACCTTTTTACAGAGGGATTTTGCCCAAATCAGAACTGTATTTTGGTAAAATTAAAAATACAAAAATTGGGGAGTTCTGGACAGCAAGGCTTATGTTTGGATCAAGGCATCATTGTTGCATGGTAAACCCGGGAAAATTATCACAAAAAGTGTGGCTTTGCCCTAGTGTTTCTTACCAATTGATTGATTTGTATCGAAACAAAAAAAATAAATAACAATTAATATTTTTTTGTAGGTACATTGTTTAGATAACTGTTTTATATGTTAACTGCAATATCGACATTTTGTACATGTATGTATGAGGTTTGACATGCAATGGTTCAATTTTCTTTTTACAAAATTAAGAGCTATTGAAAAATAGGTGCTACACAAACTGCTGTGTAAATTAATGCCATAAATGCAATTAAGATACAATTAGATATGTATTTATGCAATTACTGCAATTTAGAATTAGCTTTACCGTAGATATACATGTACTTCAACAATCCAAACTTTGATCTTGATACGTTGAGTATTTTTCCTCCTGCTTACGTGCAGTGGCGTCACCAGACTTTTCAGTCTGGGGGGGCACCAGCATTTGATGGGGGGGGGGGGGCACTTAGGTGGATACGGATCGCCGTCCTGGGGGAGGGGTCTAAGGGGAGGGGGTGCCCCCCTCCCCTCTGGAAAATTTTCGCATACGGAGGATGGGCTAGATGCAAAATGGTGCCACATTTGATGCTAAATTCGATCTGAAGATATCTCCAGAAATTGCTATTTTTGAGGTAATGATTTTAACAACGCGCAGAATTTTGCAGAGGATAGGGGGGCACCAGCATTTGATGGGGGGGGGGGGGGAGGGGGGCACGTGCCCCCCCTGGCCCCCCCTTGGCGACGCCACTGCTTACGTGTAAATATGTAGTTTTATAGCTTTTTTGACAGATTCTTGGACTTACTTTGACCTAAATATGTGAAATTATTCTTAAATTTTCAAAGAAGACACATAGGGAAACTGACTAGGTGTATTATAATTATTTTAAGGTTGAACAAAGAAATTGACAGGAGCAAGGTTTGAACCTGGGACCTCCGAATAACTGTTCCAGTGCTATACCAACTGAGCCATCCAGCCCTGTGTTGGCGGCTCCTCATTTTTAAACAGTGTCTTTGTTCAAGGGGTGCTAGTCGGAAGCCATAAACCCGTGTGTGCCATGTAGCCAGGGATCACGCCCAAAGTCACGAGCACCGGAATGGTTATCCGGAGGTCACAGTTCAAACCCCGCTCCAGTCACTTTTCTTTGTTCAAACTTTAAATAATTATTCTGAACTTATCTTGCTGACAGTATTTTACTACATGTATTGCCACAGCTAGTTGCCATAATGTTTATTATGCAGTTTTATGTCATAAGCTGCATGCTATTGGTGCTAATCCTGTTTAGGGATATTGATGCTCTTTGAGGAATGTTATTAATATTTTACCAAATGAAAGCAGAATCTGCCCCCCCCTCCACTTTTTCCAAGATAACCTTGAATTTTTTTTTTTTTTCGCGACCCGAGCTGTAATGACTTTTTAGCCTCGAGCCTTGCGCATCTTTTGATACCAAAAACATAAAAAAAATTCCGGCGCTATGCGCCGTGAAAACTGAATGTTCCCGTATACGTCGTGTACACAGAGCAGAATTGCCATTCGTACATAATCAATTAGCCATAATTCCAAAACCCTTTGACCTATAGTCATGAAATTTCTTGGGTATGTTCATGTTTCGTGAAACACCCCTCTGGCCACTTCCATGGTACGAGCTGTGCGCGTGTAGTGCTGAAAATGTCGATCGACATGTGCGGGGCTCGTATTGCCCAACTGGGTGCAGAACGCAGCTCGGTGCAGGAGAAAGTGTTTAAAACCAGCCAGTGTTTTATCCGCGGTTTAAAACCACTCCCATGACGGAGCTCAACCAATCGGAATGGGTAAACTGTCTACGGTATTTATGAATGTAATTTAAAGTTCCTGCAGCTCTTTCTGTGACACTGGTGTTTTGCCTTTTTTACACTAAAAACATAAGCATTTGGTTTTTTTACAGGTACTATAAGCTATGTTAAGAAACTTTAAAGCCCTTTGTAACATTGAACTGGTAGCTTATTTTACTTTAACATGTTAAATGCTCATTTGTCATAACCTATTTTACAAAATATAACTCAGTATTGGTATGGATCGAATGTTCCATCACAAATGTTCTTTAAAGCAACAAACCACTCAATGTTAGTAATAATTATGGAGAAGTTAATGAACATTTAAAGGGAATATACAACATTTGCAAACATCGAAAAATAAAACTACCAAGTTTTTGCGAAATACCTTAATAGGATGTTGGTAAATGACAGTCTAAAGCATCCTGTAAAATTATGGCACCTGGTATACTGTCATTTTCAAGAAAAGTGGTATTTTTGTATCAATTTCCAACGCTGATCGGCCAATCAGCGTTGGAAACAACTGGCTTTTTTTCAAATACTGGCCCCAATTGACCATTGCACTTGTTTGCAATCGATTACAAACCTATGAACGGGTACGAGCCAGCTAGACTGGTTCCCTGACCTTACAATTCCCCAATGTATGTAAACTGCTCTGTTTCTTCTTATATGGAGTCAGGGAACCAGACTACAGGAAAATGATCGTTTTTCTTGGTTTTTATAGCATTTTCGAACCCAAAACCTCCAAAAAGTCAGTGTAACTATATTTGCTATATATTTCCAACCCCCCAATTCCATCCATTTCTGAAAATTACAGCAAAAGCAAATGATGTATATTCCCTTTAAGGATTTATGTCAAACAAAATATACACATTTATTTTTAGCCTTAAAAAGTTGAAATTTACAGTTCTATTAAAAAATTATAAAAAAACATTACTTTCTTCAGAATTGGTTCATTGTGTATCATAGGGCCAATGATTTTCCATTTCATGAACTCCTAATCTTCTTAAATGACTGATACTAGGAACTTTCCTTACACTTGCAAAATTCAACACCATATGGTAAACTCAACCCCCTAACTGTTGGACTCTGATTAAATGGTGGTATACATGACCATGTAAAGCATAATCAGTTTACTAGAATGTCCAGCGCAGTTCTCACTCCAACAGAATCAAGCAAAATATGCTCAACAGGTAAGATTCCATCACCGCGCCCCAACCCAGCAGAGACGCATCTGTCGTGATCAGGTGGACTGGAGGGCTGGAAAAAAGGCCCAATGGATATTGTCTGGTTGGATCCACCACCGGAGATACGACCAGATATGCTGTGAACAGATATGCGGTACCACATGGGAAACAGGATGGGACAGAAGATAGAATTGAAGGGGTCGCATATATAGGCGGCACAGCGGAAGTAAGTCCTCAAAGCTCACAAGTAGGCCACGAAATCACAACCATGTCAGGGTTGGTGCTGTTGGCACATTGACAAACATTGGCGATTCGCTCCTGCGTCGGGTAAGTCATGCCCCGTTGTAGATCGAGGACGGTGCTGAGATAAGTGGACCGTTGAGATGGGATTTTGACTTGTTGATGAGGAAACCTTAACGAATGGCTAGAGCCCTCTAGGGAATAATGCATATGTAGTGGTTCTACAGGTAAGACAAGCGCAGAACTGGAAAATACTTTCCTCTTGGTTAATTTCCCCCAGTTTGGTAGTTACTCTATAAACTCTGCCCAGTTTCCTAGGTCAGAGTGGCAAGAGAAAGCTGTTAACATCCCTGCGTAGCGTGAAGATCACACTACGAAGGCACATTATGCACTTGCATGATTTCTTTTGCTTGCGTTTCAATCATTTTACACAAAGTGCGCTGGATTTTTGTGTTCATTTCCGATACAAATCATTCTAGTATCGTGTACACTTTAACAAGGCATTACTCATTGATATAAGCATAGAGCTCTATAGGGTCCTAGCTCTATGATATAAGCGTATAATGTTCCACGATGTCACAACGAACATAATGTAGGACAGTCGTTTGTACAGATACGAAGTTTACGCCCAGCTCAGACACTTTATCCATGGTCTCGGTAAATTTTCCTAAGAAAAAAGTATTCAAGTACAGACCCTGCTAATGTTTTGCCGATACGGATTTAACCATCATCTCCTTAAAATCGCAGAAAGTGTACTTTTTCAGCTAATTTTTGTTTCTAAAACGGATTTAACCATCATCTCGTTAAAATCGCAGAAAGTGTACTTTTTCAGCTGATTTTTGTTTCTAGAGCCCCGTTGCTTGGCAACTGACTTCCCACAGCTGTTTTGCCAGTGCCTTATCTGTTGCCATGGCAGCCTCGTTGCACGGCTGACAATCGACAAAGTAGGCTCCCGTGTGTTCCTTGACCGAATCGTTGATTGCGCAGTGGATCACGCATTGGGCTCCGGCGTCGGGCGTACGCATGAGCAATCTAAAGTGCCAACACAAAGAGAGGCCAAAACCAAAAGGAAATAAAAAAAAGAAAAGTAAAGAAATAAAATTGGTACGGTGAAGTCCACGTTTGCCTTGTTTTATCATGTTGACAACATGACTATTCAAGGGGGATGGGATTTGGTGGGGGATAGTTAGGATGGCTAATGATCCCCTACCGTCTAACCGATTTAAATCTCATACGTTACTAGGAAAAATTATTTTCCTGAAACATGTGTAAAGTCGTACAATAGTGCAAATTGAATTACGTGAAAAAAAATCTCAAGTGCATGACAATGTACATGTACGTCGTATGGTGTGATGTTTTGGTGATCAAAGATGGTCAATTAGTTGCTTTGAGGTGTTTTGGCCGATCAGCGTTTCGCACAGCTAGTCCAGTAATTATAGAGTGCAGTGATTTGCAAGGAACAAGGTTCTTACCTGAACAATGGGATGAGTAGCTTCCTCAAGCGGCCTCTGCGTAACAGACCATCAATGGCCCCCGTGTAGACTATACCCGGATGGATAGAGCACACCGTCACCTGGGTGTCCGCCAACCGCCGGCTGAGCTCGTGCGTGAACAGGTTGACTGCCATCTTACTGATTGGGTAGCTGGCTAGCTTAGGGTAGCGTACCGCGTCAGTTTCATCTGCTTCCACAAAGTTAAACTCTGGCGAGAACTTGTGGGCCAGGGAGGTCAAGTTGATGATGCGACTCGGCGCAGATCGCTTGAGCAGATCCAGGAGGAGGTTGGTGAGAAGGAAGGGACCAAAGTGATTGACACCAAACATGAGGTCAAATCCATCTTCTGTTTTCCCCTGTTGACCTATACCTGCAAGCACAACAGGTTCAAGTTGAAAAAAAGAGATATAATATATTAAAGAGAATATACATCATTTGCTTTTACTGTAATTTTCAGAAATGGATGGAATTGGGGGGTTGGAAATATATAGCAAATATAGTTACACTGACTTTTTTGAGGTTTTGGGTTCGAAAATGCTATAAAAACCAAGAAAAACAATCATTTTCCTGTAGTCTGGTTCCCTGACTCCATATAAGAAGAAACAGAGCAGTTTACATACATTGGGGAATTGTAAGGTCAGGGAACCAGTCTAGCTGGCTTGTACCCGTTCATAGGTTTGTAATCGATTGCAAACAAGTGCGATGGTTAACTGGGGCCAGTATTTGAAAAAAAAGCCAGTTTTTTTCCAACGCTGATCGGCCGATCAGCATTGGAAATTGATACAAAATACCACTTTTCTTGAAAATGACAGTATACCAGGTGCCATGATTTTACAGGATGCTTAACACTGTCATTCACTAACAGTCCAGCAAGGTATTTCAAAATGATTTGGTAGTTTTATTTTTTGATGTTTGCAAATGTTGTATTTTCCCTTTAATCATCATTTAAGAAAGCTACAGGGTAATTCCATGGTAACTAGCGTTACATTTTGAAGGGGACTTCGGTCAACTTTCTACTGCTATTTTATGAAGTCAAAGTTTTTAAATGTATGTAGGGTGTGTTGTTCTCAAGTTGGACCTTTAAAATTAAGTGATTTATAGTACATTTGTACAAAAAAATAGCCCGGCAAACAAAATAAAATTTTGTTGGTTTGGCAATAACTTTTCTTATTGAACTACTGAAAAGGAAATAAAATTAAGAACCATGCTCTTGCAAATTTCCTCACACTGTGAACTGTTGGGAAAATCTTCTCAGTGCCCTTACATCATTTAGGGTATATGTCATACGATACCGTATCACTTATTTGTCCATCCATCTTTGGTGCAAGATAAAACATACCGGAATATTATAATCTCAAAATATAAAACCAAAATCTCACAATAACACTTGTAATTTGCGCGTAAGGACAAGGTGCCAAAATGACTACCTAAAGTCATAATTTTATCTAAAACCTCCCCAAAACAACAAAAACCCAAGGTTTTTAAGAAAAAAAAACCAAAACACACAAACACCCATCTTTGTTCTGTGGACAACACAAGAGTTGTCCCATGGTACTATGGGGACCGAAGACATTGTGGGGACAGCAGAAAGTCCCGATAACTCAGTCCTAATTTGCCTAACAATAAAAAATTCCCCATAACGTAGTGACGGCCCGCCTGGCGCCCACAACCACGCAGCGTTACACATTGTGGGGAAGAGGTTTGTTTCCTTTGTTTTGTTTTCCTGTGTTCCTATTGAAATCTGAAACTCCTCAATGTTTCCCTTATCGGGTAGATTGATTTCTAAAGACTTCCTCATGGGGTCTATTGTTCTTTTCTACCCCATAAGGAACCCTGTATATGTACATATCCAATCTCAATGGTAGACCACTCAAATGAAAGTTCTTGATGTTCCCTTTAATTTGATTCTCATTTGAAGTTGTGATGCTTGTAATTCTGAAGTTTTCATTAAAGTTCCCATCTTCAGCCATGCCCACTTTCTTATGGAATTAAGAATTGAAACTAATTTCTATAATTATAGTCTAATTAGTTGAGTCATTGTAACACGTTGGAGAAAGGAATACAGTACTTTCAATAGTTTCATAGATGTAGATAGTGTGGTGGAGGAGTTGCTGTCTATACACATGTATCATGCAAACTGACTGATTAAAGATGTTCTGTCCGTGCAATTCAATATTTTTCAATTTTGTCTCCTAAAGTTAGGCCTAATTTGACTGTTAAAATACATTATTTCCCTCTATTTTTTGTGTCTGGAATCCTCTGACAAAGTCTTATTTTAGATTGCTTGTGTGAACAAATAGTTTCAGCCTTTGAGAAGACTGGTCATCCCTTCCCTATTATCAGGCAACAAATAACAAACATTTGTAAAGTAATTGTATCATAACTAAATTTGGGCCATTTTTTTTGTAAATGATTGACTCATTCAAAACTAATGACATTTTTATTTTGAGAAATAGGGTAATTTACAAAAAAAACATTCAAGAATTCTTAATTGTTGTACGCATAATACTTGTAATTAGTGTACATGTAGGTTTTAATGGTTTCATAGTTTCTTGACTACACATGTACATGTACATGTAAGTTATAATTTTGGCCTCACTAAGCATTTGCTCAAACAGTTAGTACCCTCATAAAATGTTCAATGTAAAAATCAACTCTTAGGCCAAAAAAAAAAGTCTCTGGTTTCTGGTATGGAGCTTGTCCAAAAAGTGGTGCGGCGACGCGGCTTTTTTTTTTTTTTTTTACCCGACTTTTTTGCTTCAAATGTGCTTCAAATGTCGGCTGATGACTGCAAATGGTGCCCGACTAAACTTAGTGCAAATATATGGGAGTCCAGAGAGGCCACATAAAGCTTATTCTCGATCATAACCCCATCTAAAAACACGTTGAAATTGCGCAGCAGCAGAATTCCAGTCAAACCAGTGAGTTTGGCGGTTTTGAGACATCATCTTTCATTGAAAAAAAAACTTTTTCATTTTGCCGACGCGCATGGCTACGGCGACGCGCGCGCATACCAGAAACCGGAGACTTTTTTTTTTTGGCCTTAAAGGGAATATACATCATTTGCTTTTACTGTAATTTTCAGAAATGGATGGAATTGGGGGGTTGGAAATATATAGCAAATATAGTTACGCTGACTTTTTTGAGGTTTTGGGTTCGAAAATGCTAAAAAAAAACAAGAAAAACAATCATTTTCCTGTAGTCTGGTTCCCTGACTCCATATAAGAAGAAACAGAGCAGTTTACATACATTGGGGAATTGTAAGGTCAGGGAACCAGTCTAGCTGGCTCGTACCCGTTCATAGGTTTGTAATCGATTGCAAACAAGTGCGATGGTCAATTGGGGCCAGTATTTGAAAAAAAAAGCCAGTTTTTTCAAATGCTGATCGGCTGATCAGCGTTGGAAATTGATACAAAAATACCACTTTTCTTGAAAATGACAGTGCTTTACACTGTCATTCACTAACAGTCCAGCAAGGTATTTTAAAATGATTTGGTAGTTTTATTTTTTGATGTTTGCAAATGTTGTATTTTCCCTTTAATACAAGATCTATGCTTGTACGTACATACCGGTACGATACTCGATAGAGAGTAGCAGGTACAATGTACAAGTACTAGGCATATGTACACAACCATCAACAAAATGATAAGGGGAATTTCCAATTATGAGAAATTGTGTTCATGAGGAAAAAGGCAGGCAATTGTGACGTCACAAATGTATGCAGTGGCTGTGTACTTGACTGTGGTATCGAGTTCAGTATTGAAAAATCTGTGGACAGTGTATAGTGCTGTAATACACCTATGGTGTGGCTGATTCTGCTGACAGAGTGCATACAGGAAAAGACTTCCAAACTGTATCCGTACCATTGCAATAAAACAACTACATTGTAGGTAAGTGGATGATGATAATGCAACTTGTACATGAGAAATATAATGAATAGCGACGTGCACGGGACCCCTATGGAAATATACCAATGGGCTTTTAATTGCATGGGCCTTTTACACAAGAAGAAAATGACTGTCCTTTGATTCCTTATCTTATATCTGCAGTACACGCATGTGCAAGCATGTTGTTGAGTTCATCTGCATAAAATTGAAGTGAATTGAATACATGTACCGTATGTAAACTGTAGTAGACTTACTGAACATGAGTCAGTACATATCAAAGTTACATGTACATGTAGTATGCATTAATGTTCAAATTTGTTTTCATTCTTATGTACACGAATGTAGCGTACAACTGAACAAGATGGCAGAAGGGGGTGTGACCGATCTAGCCTTGGATGAGACTCAGAAAGAACTTCAGGAATGTCCTATCTGTTACACTGAGTACAAGGATCCTAGGATGCTAGACTGCTCACACAGCTTCTGCCTGAAATGTCTCCAAGAACTCAGACTGACACAAAATAAGGATGACAAGAATATTGTCTGTCCGTTGTGTCGCAAGGAAACTGCCCTGACTGGAGCTGGCGTGGACATGCTACCTGGAGGATCAAAGGATGTCAATCAACAGGAACAGACTGAAGGTCAGGGGTTAAAAGTCATGTGTCAGGCATGTGATGAGGAGAACGAAGCTATTTCTCGATGTAGGGATTGCAAGCATTATCTCTGTCAAGAATGCCTGAAGGCACACAATCGATTGGCATCACTGAGGGCTCACAAGATTGTGGCTTTGACAGAGCTAAATGTTGAGTCAGAAGAAATAACAGAGGACATTGAACTCAAGAAAGTCCCCAAGTGTTGCAAGCATACAGATCATGATCTCTGTCTGTATTGTGACACATGTGAAGTCCTCATATGCAATGAATGCACAAACTTCGATCACAGAGAATCCCTGCATTCTCACATCAGTGTTGATGAGGCATTCAGCAAATGTAAACAAGAAGTAAATGAATCTGCATCTAAAACAGAAGAGTACATTAAAGCATTCCTTTCTGCCAACCCCGTTTCAGTAGATCATTCACGTTACAGACTTGACATGATGCTGGCAAAAACTTACTCTCAAATTACACTGAAAGCAGAAAAAGAAATCACCAAAATCAGAGAGAAAGAAAAACAACTCAAAAAAGAGGCCAGAGACATTGTCATTAAACGAGATATGGAATTTGCATATGCAACAATACCAGAGCAGACTCTGAGTAAAGTGAATGAAGTGATGACTACTGCAACATACTATGAGATCCTGGAGTCCAAGAAGAAAATGCTGCGGGATTTGAATGAGCAGGTGAAGGTGCATAAGAGTTTGGATATCAAGCATGGGAAGTCATTCCTTGGCTTTAAGGAGAGTGAAGAGGATGTTCAGCTTGGAACTCTGCTCTTGGAGGAGAAATGGGAGAGAGATGAAACCTTTGCAAATGTGTACGGCAGCGGCCAACTTGCAGCGTACTCCACAAGTGAAATGGTTGTGGCATGCAGAGATAAACTGCTCACAGTGGATCCAGAGGGGAAGGTGATATCTAAAAAGACTTACAAACCCGACCCTGATGAACCAATTGAACCAAACGAACCCCATGACCCTAATGACATACAGCTCTAGCCATCAACAAGGATGACCAACTTCTGATCCTAGACAATCCTGCAGTCAAGATCTTCAACAAGGAATACCAGCTCCTTCATCAGTTCCTACCGGGTAAAGAGGCCGGCGTGGACGGCACGCCGACATGCCTGGCAGTGGACAGCAGCAATCTGATAGCAGTGGGTTACAAGGACAAGGAACAGATATCTCTACACAACCCAGATGGTTCCCTCGTCAGAACACTGCCTGCTCCAAAGATTGATGCACATTTGATCTTCAGCAACAAGCGACTTATTTACATAAACAGCATTGAGGGTTTGCTGATGGCTGTTGACTTACATGGCAACAAACTGTTTAACCACAGTTGTAGGTATCCTCATGGGCTGTGTTGTGATGATGCAGGTGATATTTACCTTCTTGCCCCAGCATACACAATTTGCCATTTCAGTGCAGATGGCAACTTGTGCACCGACTCATGGAAATACAATGATTCTCCTTACTGCATGTATATCCAACCATGCATCACATACACACCTGCACATAAATTAGTACTTGCAACTAGGTCAACAGGGTGGTTGAGAATGTATCACTTGGTTTAGAGACATCAATCAACATGAAATTGCAAATTCAGGCCAACAAAATATTAGGCAGGCAATAAAAAAAGGCATTTAGGCCGACTTAATTACAAACTTAAAAGCCGAATGATTGTCAACGTACATGTAGAAGTACAGTATTGATGCTCCATATGGAAATATATATGTGTACATTCATGTACAGGATGTCCAAAAAAAAAGTAACACACACAAACAGGGGGATAATTTGCAGAGGTTATAAATTTAGTGGGCGTTATCATGATTTTATCATAAACTAGGGGTAGTTAGCTTTCCATTGATATCTTGGATGCATTCCTCTGGTCATGCATCACTGAGTTCCATTGTTTTTAAAAATTAGAATAGTAACTCTGTGTATTTGTTTTGTTATTGTTTGTAGAAATGTATAGATCTCCGAACATATCCAATAGGTTGCATTATTAGGTGCCCACAACATTGCAGCAATGTTCACAGAGTGGTAGAAACGTGTGAAAAGGTAGCAAAAACCTGTTGACTAAGTTGCAGTAATGGGTCCACAAAGTTGTAGAAACGTGCCTTAAAAGTTGCAGTTACATGCCCACAAAGTTGCAGCAATAGGCAATTACTGCCCACAAGCTGCAGCAACATGTCTATTAAATTGCAAAATTTTTACGTGCCCACTAAGTTGCAAAATTTTCATTCCCAGTGCAGTAACGTGCCCGTAAAATAGTGAAGGGTACACTGGAAAGTGGCAAGCGTATAGTGTCATGGGGCCATGTGTGTCATTTTGATATCACATACACACCTGCACATCAATTAGTCTTCACAACAAAGCTCATACATGTACATTGGGAGGGCATGTTCAAGGGTCATTGCATTTAATAAGGGGTCCAAAGCGGGACATTGTTATGTCTGGTTGCAAAATAAATTCTTTAACCTTTGCTGTTTAAATTTGTAGGACTGGTTGATCTTAGTTCTTTAAACATAAATTGTTCATCTTCCGACTTGATTTTCTTCTTTACATGACACAAAACATGGTTTACCGTGTAACAGGGACACCAACATGTTACATGTGAAATTTGTGACTTATTTGTGCCATACTTCTGTTGGTTTTCATTAAAAATGTCTAAAATTCATATATTATATAAAGCAGTAAAGATACTTGTGTCTGTTATGAACATTTGACTTTTCAATGACAGGCTTACCCTTAAGAAATACCGGTATAGCGCAAATAAGTTGCTAATGTCACAAGTAACAGGGACACCATGGTGTCCCCCCAAATGTCTGTTACAGTGTTAAGCAAAATTTGGCTTTCTTTGAAAATTTCTGAATTGCATACATTTCATAAGCTAATAAATGACAGTTATTAAAACTCAGACATTTTCAGATGGATATATTGCACAAAATAGTGACTATTTCCATATTTAGAGGTCGGTGTCCCCACATGTGAAACCATGTAACTTTTATGTAGCCTATACATGTATCTTACGCTTAGGCCCCCCCCAAAAAGTCTCTGGTTTTTGGTATGCGCGCGCGTCGCCATAGCCATGCGCGTCGGCAAAATGAAAAAGTTTTTTTTTCAATGAAAGATGATGTCCGAAAACTGCCAAGCTCACTGGTTTGACTGGAATCCTGCTGCTGCACAATTTTAACGTGTTTTTAAATTGGGTTATGGTCGAGAATAAGCTTTATGTGGCCTCTCTGGACTCCCATTATTTGCACTAAGTTTAGTCGGGCACCATTTGCAGTCATCAGCCGACATTTGAAGCAATCAAATCAAGTAAAAAAAAAAAGGCTGCGTCGCCGCGCCACTTTTTGGGCAAGATCCATACCAGAAACCGGAGACTTACACATGAAACAAAGTTTTCATCATATTTGAAGAAGACAAATTTAATTTGTATGATTCATGTTTTGAGTGACAAGGACAAACCATTACCATATTGAAACTGGAGTGCAGAAAATACTTATAGTACAAAGTTATGCATATAAGATGCATTGGCACCCTTATTTATACCGACATACTAACATGCGAGTGCAACCATACCGCAGCAGCCTGTGATGTGAAGTGGCTAAAAGTTTAATCGTTTAAATTGTGCTTTAATAAATAGATTTTCCAAACGTTTTCAATTTAAATGCCAATTCCCATCCATAGTCATGATAGTGGGCGGTGCCAAATGGATCAGTCTATTCATCAAGGGCCAGCTCCATAAGAATGTACACATGTACCACAATACCTTGGAATGTTCTATACAAACGGTTAAATTTCTTTTGCAACCCATGAGATCAGCTTCATTCTATTGGAGATTGAGAAATACTTATTTTAACAAGTTAACTTTCCAACCAAGCCCTTTTTGTATCAATGGTTTTACACAATAGTTTAAATTAATTGCCCCTTTTATCTGAACTTTTGTACTGCTTTGTATTATGAACACATGCATGTACATGTATAGGACCCTTTGGTTTTAGTGGCTTGGTCTTGGGTAGTTTACCACGGCATTCAATTTGATCAGGCAGAACAAACGATGATTCTCCATTTATTTACCCAAACAGTTTGACTATTTTCTATCCTTCTTGCTGTAGTTTGTAAAACTTTTGAACCGGCCTGCATTCAATGACAGTGTAACATTGTTATTTTACCACTGAAAACAAACCTTTCGTTGGCAATGATTACCAATTAAAAAAACTAGCATTGCATCTTGATTTTCAACCACTACTTATGGTTACCCAGGCCAAGCACCATAAATGGGGTCCAGATACTTGATTGCCTCTTTAAACTGAATTGGGCCTCACTGCCGCCCATGGAAACATGTGTGGACAATTTGATCTCTTCTGGCTTTGATACACACTTTCTAATGCATTACAACTTAATGGAGTTTAAAGGCACGCTTTTAACACAAACTCTTTATACCATGTAAAAAATAAAGGTGGGCTTTTCAAGAAGTATATTGTCTAATTACTGGTACTCTACATGTGCATGTACCCCCGCTTATTTCCAAAAGAAAAGTTGGAAAGTGTGAACTCTGCACTAATTTAAAATTGTGATACTGATTGGTTTTTGGTGTCTAAACTGTTTCTTGACTAAATCTGGTTCATGATCTTTTTACACTAGCAAGATGCCATGTGAAGAGCTAGTGGAGTCGTGGCATCCGCTATACTGTAGCTGGGTGGAATCCTTAAGTTAAAATTTAGATTTATCAACGATGATGAATTAGGCTAATCATCATATAACGTTGCTGTGAATCTTACAAAGGATCGGTGCGCCATCGATTGACGTATTTTTCAGAAGGGCTCATTATACATGTACGTGTATAGTCAGGTTTTGAATATTCATATCGTAAGAATTTGAACGATTGACGGTAAAAGGGTTATGTACTAATTTGTATAACTTTGACCTCAATTTGCATGTTGACCCCAAGTGGGCGTGGTAAACCTTGGTGAAGCGATGTTGTCACATTTTTCATCATCAACGATATATTTGGAATAGCGTTACGTTTTAAAGTGTTTTCATAGAGATAATGTTGTAAAATTTAACTTTTCAAAGAAAACCCACTTGGTTGAAGGTACCGGAGTACTGAATGCATGCATACTACCGGTACTGCGAACAAACGTGCTTCCACCTCAGTAATATGGTTTATTCTGGTCATAGACTATTATCATGTTGCGGCCATCAGGATTTTTTCCATTCAAATCAACGTAACCGAAGCGAGGCTTGAAGGAAAAATAGCTAGTCTGGTTCCTTTTTGCACAAAAACATTATTATTCATTACTGTTATTGGATACTGGGGACATGACTGAAATGGTGGCAGCATGATAAAGATCTATAGGATAAGTCTGTAGGGCAATTTGTTTTGTTTCCCCATTTTTTTTTTTTTAAGAACTACATGTATTTTCAAATCAATTTTTGTTACTGAAAGCAAGACTTTGAGAAAGCTTTACATTGTAATCAGCACAAATGTGTTCAATAAGCAGAATTGTGGGTTTACCATTTGAAGAAAACTCTGATCTGAAGGGTGTGGGCCTAAAGTGACATCACAACAACTGCACCCAAGCCTGCCAACTCTCACGCATAACGGTGAGACTCCCGCATTTTCAGGTTATTCACACTCTCTCGCGTAGTGGCGTAGCCAGGAATTTTTCACTGGGGGGGGGGGGGGGGGGGGGCAAGGGGGGGGGGGGCTGGAACATTTCATGGGGGGGCATCATGTAGATCAATGATAATTTTTTAAGAAACTCAAAATTTCAGTGGGGGGCAACTGGGGGGGGGGGGCCACAAGGTTTCATGTGGGGACTGTTGCCCCCCCCCCACGCCCCCCTCGCGCCCTCGCCGGATTTCTCACGCTTAAAAAAAATCCCGGAAAATGATAATTATCTTTTTGCTAACAAAAATTGGTTAAAGTGGTCGAAAATTGCCTCAGATCGCACCACAGATCGTCTAGAATCCAATGTTTTTTGGGCCCCTTCAGCGGGCCCCATACCCATGCTGTTAGGGCTTCACGCTTCGCGCTTGCGCCCTCTGTTGTCAGGAAAAGCACGATCACATTTTAAATTAAAAACGTGCACTTTGCAAAATATATTACCCCCAAAAAAAGAAGTCTCATAGTTTGTACACAATTTAGAAGAATGTATAATTTCCTCAAATATGCTTCAGAGTAAAAATCATTTCATGGACCCTTCAATGTTTTTATATTTCTTGAAACATTAAATATGAGGTGGGCCTTATTCATCACCATTTTCTAGAAATGTTACCATCATAAAGTCTTGTTTCAATTTTTTTAAACTGTGGTACACAGACCCATACATCTACATGGACAACAACAGCTGGGTATACATACAGGTGTACATCTACTTGAAATGGGCACACAACAACATTGTACAAAATGTACAAGTGTGTACGGTACATGTGTAAGCGAGGTCAGAGGTGTCCTATAAAAAGCTTTTCATTCAATACCGGGGAATTCCCAATGAGAAATTGTATTCGTGAGAAATACAGTTTAACTGTGACGTCACAACGGAAGCTTTGCTAGGAAGTGTTGGTGCATCATAGAGCTGTATGCATACTTGTACATAGTACATGTACGTGAGCAGAAACGTACAGTAGTGCTGTACAAGTAGGGTGTGGCTGATAATCTGCTGACAGCTAGAGTGCATACAGGAAAAGACTTTCAAACTGTACCTAGAAAACATCTACAATACGTTGTACAGGTGAGTGGATACAATTACAGTATGCGGTAGAAGAAGAAAATAAAAAACAGCACCATGGAACTCCCATGGAAATGGGCTCTGTATCAAAAAAAAAATGCCTAACTGTTCAATTGACTTATCTTTACCAGCTGTTACATGTCTGTATACGCAATACACATGATGTTGATTTCATCAGCATAAAACAGAATGAAATTGCATGAAAACTGTTGTTAGTGGAGTAACTGAACATCAGCCACTCTAGACCAAGTTACCGTAACATGCAAGTTAACATTTAAAAATTTGTTTTCACTTATAGAGTACAACTAAAATGGCAGAGGGAGGTGTGACCAATCTGGCATGTCTAGTCTTGGATGAGACTCAGAAGGAACTTCAAGAATGTCCTATCTGTTACACTGAGTACAAGGATCCTAGGATGCTGGACTGCTCACACAGCTTCTGCCTGAAATGTCTCCAAGAACTTCAACAGACACAAAGTGATGACAAGATGATTGTTTGTCCATTGTGTCGAAGGGAAACTGCCCTGACTGAAGCTGGTGTGAACATGCTACCTGGAGGATCAAAGGATGTCAATCAACAGAAGCAGACTGAAGGTCAGGGGTTAAAAGTCATGTGTCAGGCATGTGATGAGGAGAACGAAGCTATTTCTCGATGTATGGATTGCAAGCATTATCTCTGTCAAGAATGCCTGAACGCACACAATCGATTGGCATCACTGAGGGCTCACAAGATTGTGGCTTTGACAGAGCTACCTGTTGAGTCCGAAGAAATAACTGAGGACAT